CCTATAAATGTACAATTTTAAAAACAAAACTGAATCAAGTAGATGTTTTTTTTAATTATTGGTTGCATCATCAGACTTATGGGAATAGGTTTTAGTAAATATTGTGTATAGATTAAATAAATTAAAAATACCACATTGTTAAAACTGTACAGTAATTTATTAAAAATTGTACCAAGCTCATTGGACAACTCTACATTGTTCAGCAGTACAAACCCCCACATCATCGGGATGATGGCAGAACTAGTTTTAAATAATTAAAGTACTAATTAGGAAGCTTAGAATAGCCAATGAAGGTTATGTCCAGCAGAAGTGGTTGATAGTAAAGAAAACTATTTGTATTCAGTTTTAACAAAAGGTTTAATTTACACTTTTCATCTTGTTGCAGCCTTAGAAGTTGAATCAGACTTCTTGTTGCCAGACCCCCAGGAAGGTCCAGAAGGGGATACAGAAAATGCAGCCCAGCTGATGTTGTCATTAAAGGGACTAGTAAAAGACTTAAATGTGGTGAAGAAGTTTACTCTAATTCAGTGAAGTCTTTTTTTTTTCTGTTCAATATATACAAACTGTCAACTGTTTATAATTTTGTATATATATATATTTGATGATTAATTATGTTCAAATATATACTGACTTATATTATTATTAAAATCAGTATTGTAGCAGTGCATTTTGTTGTTCATACCATGAAAAAAAAAGTTCTAGTTTATAGAACTTGTTATTCATAATTTATCAGTTCACAAACATTTATTCTTTTATATCATAAACTTATTATTTGATTTACAAGAATTTTTAACAGAACATTTTTAGTAAGATTAATAATGACCTAATAGACAAAAAACTCAAAGCAAAACACCTTATGAACAGACCTTTTATTAGAAATACATATTTGTCTCAATTCATTCAAATACTGTAATGTTGACATATTATTTAAATAAAATAACTTGTATAATATACAGGTGTATATTTTATTTCACTGCATAACGGTAAATTGTATACTTCAAAACAGGTTTTGGTGTTATTTTTGTAACAATTCTAAAACATTACTTCTTTTATAGGATTCTGTTTTGGCCTTTTCAGGCTAATATTTTCAAGCACCAACAGAAATAGGAAACAAAAATAATTGATACTGAACATAGTAATTGTTGTATCTCTTATATGTACTTCTAAGATCTCTTAAAATACAACTTCCCTTAGTTGGAACAGTAAATTGACTGATTCTTACTGGTTTTATTAACACAGGATATTTCCACCCCACCAGAGACAAAGAAATGTTTTTGGGTAGCAGGGCAAGAAACAAGAAATTTCAATAATTGTTTCTTGGAGGTGTTGCATACACCATTGAAAAGTCTGGAAACCTATTTTTGAGTGACATCACAGCATCTTTGGGCTTGTTAGATAAACTTGCCTCAATAAGGCCTGTCAAAAAGTCCATCTTGATAGCATCCACAGCAGTTGCACAGGTTGTGAGTTGAACATCTTGGAAACTTGCACATGCAGGTAATCAAGGGAATAATGATTGATGATGACATGCTGAAAAGTACCAAAGTTCTGATTATGGTCAGTGAAGCTTGGAGCTATCTGTTGGGGTCTGTTCTGAAAAAATAATGTAATGATGGGCAAAGAAGAAGGCTCATGTAGCAGGACCATCAGTTAAACAACAAATACTGTTATTAACTATGATTTTTTTGTGATGATGTGGTCAGTCATAACTTGGTCAATTTTTGTCCAGTTTGTAAACTGTAAATTGGAATAAGTTCAACCAAAATCGGATTAATCCTGATTTTTTTTTTTTACATCTGAGCCCTGCCACCTAGGCACCTCTGGTTGAAAGAAAGATCCTGTGTTAATTAAAAAGTATTCTTAATTTCATAGAAAATTGAAAGTACATGTTTATTTTGGTTTAATCATACAAATTAAAAAAAAATGTCATAAGCATTGCTGCTCAACAGTTCTTTAGAAAACAAGTGACAAATCAACAGAAACAAAACCTGTTCATTTTCTTGTTGTTTGGTTACTTAGATTAATATCATTCTCATAAGAGATTATGGGCAATCAAAATTTTTACTTTGATATTAAAGAACAATAGATATTTGATATTCATTTTCAGAGTAGAAATATAAAATGATAAGAGGTTTATATTGAAGGATAGATAGTGGTGTAGACCAGCAGTTCCCAACCACTGTTCTACAGAAACATCCATTGAATGTGCAATTCTTTCTAAATAAATATTCATATTATTGAAATAGTAAATCTTTTAAAAACTTGCTTTTAAAATTCCATATATAACTATATATGTTTTGTATACTTTATATTTATGTGTCATAGAGTGTAGTATAAGCCTGTATACCCCCAACAATCTGTAAGCTCTTTACAAAGATTTTGCCAACCTGTGCAAAAGGTAGGGAACTGCTGGTGTAGCTTTTCTTATGGTAGAAAATTTAGCATATTCTTAGAGATATGAGTTGTTCCATGTTAAAACTTAACAAAAAAACATATTCTGATGTATTATATTAAGAAAAAATCACACATAGTGAGGTAATGCATCTTCAAAATTTTCTGTAATAATGATTTATGAAACATGCCGTTTATGTAAATTTAGTATACTGGGATCACAAATGTACTGATAAATGTTTGAAGAAGTATAAAATCAGTACATAAGAAGTCTTATTTATATATATATATATTCCTACCATCACTTTATAGTACTCATCACTAAAGGGTACATTCCAAAACCATTGTTAAAATCCCAACTAAAGTTCACCACACACTTTATAATTTCCAAAAAATTAAAATTGGTATGTCAGATGAGATTTGAATGTGTAATATTTAAAAGGTTATGGGATGACAGTAAATCCATTCATCAATTTTAACATTTCATGTAAGTGGTCCAGTTTCTTTCATGACACCTCTTACTTATCTCATGAATTTGCTTTGCATAGTTGTAAACTGAATTTTTGGCAAAACTAGAAATAGCATGTGATAAATAGAATGTAACAAATTTGAGTGTTTGGTATTCTAGCAACTATTATTACAGTATTTTATGTGTGTGACGTTAAGCCTAAATTCAGCCTAAAAACCAGAATTTTCAAAGGGCAGTTTTCTTGGTTGTGTGATCGTAGTATGAGAATTTTGTGCTTTGGGGCTTCCCAGTAAAACTGTGTGTGTCCAGTTTTAATATCAATTGGACTTTAAAGATAGGTAACATCTGTATTGATACTGGGTAGTGTTGAACTCAACATTGTTAACTTATTAATGGGTAATAAATAAAATTTTATTACAAGTTTTAATGTGATTACTATATTAAACTTGTAATAAAGTTTTTCATTATCCATTCAAGCCATTTTCAAACTTTATTGTCTCCAGGTAGGTTTCTTGTCATCAGGTGGGTGATATTTTCAGGTAAAGTATTTATATAAAATGATCTGCAGTTTCAACATAACATTAATATCATTTTTACAACCTTGTTTTGTGAAACAGGACCATAGCATGCTAGTCTTGTTATATTTTCTGACAAATTGACCTTAATTAGTTATTTTTAACACTGGATACTCTTGAGACACATCTGTGACTGATATTCATTCAATCTTTGTGCAATAATGACCACAATTTCTGACATTTGCTTTAAGTACTTGTACCTGCTAATAAGAGACTCCTTGAAGAAACCCTTTGGTGAAACCTCCATCACTGCTAAAGTTAATTATGGGTTGATACATTTACCATTTAGATATGACTAATCATAAGTTATTACTAAAAAAGTATTTAAATACTAATGTATTGGTAATGAAGATGAGCATCTGTTACTTTATGAGGTATTTTATATGGCCCTCGATTAGTCTTTTATTTTCAAAGAGAGAGAGAGAGAGAGAAAAAGTGTAACAGTGCTTACCATGTGTTTGTTAAATTTATACTCAACATAATTAACCAAATGATTATTGAAGAAAACGTTTCTTAAAGTTATAGTGTATGTCAGTAAGCATCCATCCAAGCGAGTCTTCCAATGAAACTGAAAATAGATTCGGAAGATTCTTTCTTTTCCTTGGGTTTCTTTGTTTCATCATATAACATGTGATCAAGTGAAAGAAGATGTTCTCTTCGTTCTTGCAATTTTTCTACCCACCTAGCTGCAGGAAAAGATTAGTATATCTTTTTTAGAATATTTAACCAGTATAAGGTTAGACAACAAAGATAAAATACCTTAAAAAAAATCTAATGACACAAACTTAAAACGTTTAGAAAGTGTTGGTCTGTTTTTATTCTTACAAACATGAATTAAAAAACACCACTTCTTTGTACTTGAAAAAATGATATAAAGAAGTAAGAGTAACAGTTTGAGAAGATGAAATAAAATAGACGTGATAACCAGCTCGAAAAAAATTATAAATGAAAAATGTGTGTTTTGGATACTATGAACAGTAATATAAGGAAAATCGCATGGCTGTTGGGTAGTTAAGAAAACAATTAACCTGCATTGTTGTTGTTATGGTTACCTTATGCCAATATTGTGCTATGAAGAGTGCAGGAGAGAAATACTGTAGGAATGAACCAACTAGTTTAATTATTGTACTTTCTAAGGTGATTTTAACATAAAAAAGGAATTTGTTGATAAATTGTGTAGATTTAAAAATAAAAAGGTGTAAAAAGTATCATTTGAAACTAATATTTCTTAGTAATTTTTTTAAACTCTTTGGAAAAGCAATATAAAGAATGGTTTAGGAAGTTAGTAAGATGTACGTTAGTAGATAGAGATATGAAATATTTCTTCGTGTTGATATACTTACCGGCAAGTTCTCGGACTGTGAACTGGCCACCATATTCTTTTGGGAGGATCTTTACAGGAATGTGTTGTTGAAGAGAATCTAATGTCCAGTGGACAACCATCTAAATGTGAAAGAAGGAGACAGATTCTATGTGGTTTACAATAATCTTTGATCTCTTTTGTTTTTCTAACAGTCAGAAAACAAAAAGTAAAGTTAATAGTGCAAGAAAACTAAAACTATGCATAATTTATCAGTGAGTCGCTTTTTTTTTATCAGAAGTAACTTTGATGATTGAGAGCATTACCTATTTATTGTTTTCTATAAGAAAATACGTTTCAACTTTAATACAACATACACTCGCGAAGTGATGTAATTTTTTCATTAACTATTTCATGTGTTCTAGTTTCACTCAGTTTTGCGTAATTTTTATAACAGTTTTAGTTTGTTCCAATTTAATGTATTTAAAAACCAATCACATCTTTAATGTATATGATTAAACGGACAAATTGTAGTAATTTACTGCTTCAAGATACCGTAACAAGAGGTCACGCTCACTAGATTTATTAGTCTTAACTTTTAGGTACTAAGCCTGAGTAACTTGATTGCTCAGAATTTTCGTCTGTTTACCTGTAAACGAATTCATTTGCATTCGCATCACTGCTTACATTTAATAATGATTACCTACTTACTCGTTGACACCAGAATAAATCAGGTAGTGGCCTGAATGAGTTACATACCCTCTTCTGGAATTTATCCTTAATAAGACCCTTGAAGAGATCGTAAATGAAAAGAAGGCAGGTTGGCATGTTGAACCAATGGATTTTTCTGTGACGCATCGGCATAGCTTTCTGAAACACACAAATGATATAACTTTGGTTTTGTGTAAATAATCAAACAGTATTTTGTTGGTGTTGGCTGTACCGTATTTCTAGAAAACATAACTACGAATACTACCTACGAATAAAAGTTTATCATGCATAACAGTTGTGGTTCTTTTTTTTTTCTAACATATTCAATAATATATATAGTTTCCCGTACAAGACTACTACTACTACCCCTTTTTTCAGAGAAAAAAATACACTCGGTTTGTGAAACTAAAATAAGCAATGATTATTCTACACCGTTAATGAAAATGGAACGGTAAATCCCTTATTATTGTGAAACAATAATTCTGTGGTCATTAACATATTATTAGAGAATTGTAACAAGTCTTCTATATCATGAACTTTATATTCTGGTCCAAGAGTTGAACCACCCTCCTAAAATCCTGTTTCTTTTCCTGAAGCATCACTGCAAATACAATATTATAGTAAGATCTAGAACTGAAGACACACTGGATAACTTACAGAAATGTGACTAAACATTCATTTGAATGAGAAAATCTTGAGCAGAATTGTATGAAGAAAAAAAAAGAACAATAATAATAATGTTGGCATTTTTTGACTAAACCAACGTTGTTTAGTGACATTTTTTTTATCATAAATACTTGCATAATTGAATGTATTAAAATTAAATCAAACTTTCGACCGGCGTTTTGTTGTTTGTTCTTTTTTTTTTACGAAATATATTACGATGTTTGTTCTACCCTTTTTTGAAACGAAATATATATGTTTATATCTTGTACATGTATATTGCGAATCGTGGTGTCTGTCCGAGCGTTCGCCTTGTCTCCCGTTTACGGCGGACGCTTCACGCGCTGCGTTTGAAAGGCTGCGCGCGCAGACAAAGCTCAACATTCACTTTTGAAATGACGGGAGAACAGGCATGAATAATGTTTATGGCAAATTTTATTTTGCAAGCAGGATATTCTACACTAAGTTCTCAGAAATTAATCACACTATCATTTGCATTTCCAAATGTGACGTAATTTAAAGAATAAATATGTAGATTTACCGTATGTTATTGTTGAGCTGCGCTTAACATGGCTGAAATGCTCAACAATACTTTTTGCGGTGGGCGGTATTAGTATAAAAGAGCTTTGGCTCTGATTGAACCCAAGAGTGCAACACAATTAACCTTTCTAAAGTCCATGAAATAATTTAGATTGATAGATTAACTTAAACTTTTCCTGTCACTGGGGACGGGTACTTTTGCTTGTTAATGATAACATAATTCGGTGCAACCTTTTTGTAAAAAAAAACATTTAATCATAAACATTTTTATTTGTTGACTTAACAACTCTGAGGGAGAAGGATAACACATTCATCATATACAATCAATGTACAGAAAAATGCAAAGAATTAATCATTCAGATATTGAGTCTCCCGGTGTCAGCGGCAAGCTTGGGGGTTGATAATGCCAAATTCTGGGTTCTATCTGCGGTGAGTACAGCGTAGACAGACCATTTTACAGCTTTGCGCTTGACAACAAGCCAAACAAAAACAATTCAAGTGATGATTTCACTCTGAAGTAAGGATATGAAATTCACGGGCGATACTGATAGATCGATAGTGAAGCTAAAAATCAGGAATCCAATTTTTTGGCACATCAATTTTAAAGTTTTAAAGGTGAGTAGTCTGACTTCTCATAATTAATGTGAACTGGTTGCCACTGCTGTGTTAATAAAGGGTTCGTTGCAAAGTAGTAATTCTACAAGAAAAACCATAATAATTTTGGTGAGGAAATAAATTCATTAACCAATGCGATAAAAAATTTGTTGTTAAGATTCACATCATGTATTTCCAAAGAATATTATTTTCATTTTAACTAAATAAATGTTTCATGGCTAGGGCGCTCGACTCGCAATCTGAGGGTCGCGGGTTCGAATCCCCGTCCCACTAAAACAGCCGTGGGGGGCTATAAATGTGACGGTCAATCCCACTATTCGTTGGTAAAAGAGTAGCCCAAGAGTTGACGGTGGGTGGTGATGACTAGTCTTATACTGCTAAATTAGGGATGACTAGCCCAAATAGCTTTGTGTGAAATTCAAAACAAACAAACATATCTACTTGTACTAAAAATTATAATTAATGTCTTTCACTTGCATCATTTTTTTAAAGAGCTGTTGTTGTTAGTTACTAAGCACAAAGGGCTATCTATGCTCTGCCCACCACGGGTATCGAAGCCCGGTTTCTAGCGGTATAAGTCCGTAGACATACCGCTATGTCACTCTAAATAACTTAAGATTTTATGAAGGTGTGTTTGCAAAATTCATACTTCTCCTGTTGACAGAAGCCGTTGAGTTTCTCTTAAACCTACAAACGTGAAGTGAGCTAGAGAGAAGTCACTTTGGTCAAACACGTAAGTAAAGCCTTTCCGTTGATTATCTTCGTCTTCTAGAAGCGTTTCAAATGTTATCACAAACGCCCTGAAGAGGTCGCTAGGGGAATGTCGTTTTGGATCAAGCTTTCCTGTGCAAAAAACAAAGAATACGTACAACTGTTTGGACCATTGAAAAAAAGAAAAGACCATATTAAAATGCGATCTATATCTGATCACATTAAGCAAATCTTTGAAAATTAAGTTTACTTGCCGCACTGTTACTGCCGATTTGGAGATAAAGTATTCAATAAGTGAATATAACACACTAAAAAAAAAGTAGCTTTGATGCTGAAAAAACATTTAAATGAGCTTTATAGTTTAAAACGTAAATTTAATACATGAGGATTTTATTATATAAACATTTTGGCTCTTGGAAATACAACAAAAATAATAGTGAAATGTTTACTTAAATCATGTATCTCGTGATGTTTTGGCAATTTTAACTTGATGGGATTTATTACGTATTTTTGGTTTAAGAGTTGATAAATTGTATACCGTGTAAATAACTTGATCTCATATTTTCTTGCATGTTAAGTTGAGATGTTATTTACTGATCTTTTTCATGTAACTAATATCGATGGATTATTTAAATTACATTTATAATTTTACCAAATATTTAACGCTTATATAGCTTTACGCGAACATTTCTTACAAACAAATTCTCAGACTGTGTCAGATTTGTTTAGGTTTGTGTTAATGTGATATAGGTAGTAAGTAGCCTAGGTAATGAACGCAGACGACAGTTAGAGGAAAGCCTCCTGAAATATTGAGCTCGTGCTGAATATCTTCGTGACAAAATCTGTTTTTACTATTTTAACCCATTGGCTGCTATTTCGCCGTATAGGGTACGGTCTGCCTGTGGCAGTTGAATGCGAGTATGCCATATACGGTATACGGCGCGCGTTTAGACCAGCCGAAGTCAATGGATTAATTTTTAATACATAACCTATATAGAGTTATTGCAATAAAAAATAAACCATTTTATACATCCAGAAAATCGAGGGGCAACAGCCCACTCCCTGTTTTTCATTTGAATGCGATGTCGATGATTGCCGAACGGTAATCGGATACTGCAACGTTTGGGGGACCCATTGTGTAGCTTTATGCTGAACAAACAGACAGACGGTGTAGATACAATACATTAATTACAAAACGTACCTGCAATACCGAACACTACAGTGCGGCCATCTTTGTCTTTTTCCGGAAGTGGAAAAACATATCTGAAACATGAGAACTTTCAGTTAGATACCAATAGACTGTGGATTATGACACAACATGTGAAAATGGAAAAATATCTTTTCTTTCGATAAACACACATTTCAACAGCATAAAACATGGGCTACCGTACACTTTAGGGTTTACGACAATAAAATACCCATTTGAGTTTCTAAAAGCATTGATTCATCTTTCAGGGTTAAAAAAGTAAAAATATGAATATGTAAATAAAAGAAGCTTACTGAAATTTATTTTTTGAAAAGCTATCAGAATTATTTATACTTGAAATCAACTGAATAGAATTTTTTTAAAAAGCTAACCAAATTCAAGTTTTAATAACTTTTTGTGATGGTGGAATGATAAATAAAGTTAATCTAGCAAACAAGAGAATTTAATTAAAAAGAGAAAACCCAAAGAAGTTAAAAACTAACGTTGGAAGACCCGGGATTTGTGAAATTATTGAAAAATAAATTAGGTAAAGAAAATGTCTTATTAAAATTGTCACCGACCTATCAGGTTTTGTATATAATAACTGATATGACGTCATATAAATCTGTTTCATTAATGTTTGCCTAGAGCATAAATTACATCGCCATAACAGTAACAACTACGGTAATCGACCTTGCCAATGTCCTACATTGTCTTTACATAAAGTCCATAAGATTATGCACATGTAGACAGTGTAGATATTAAAGCATAACCTTAAGACAGCTGATGTGTACGTACCCATTCGACATAAGGTCATATAAAGTTGGATCTGTAATGTCTAGCCGTTGGTAACAGTGTGGAAAATTGGTTCGAACCTTGAAGTATTTTTCTAGGACTTCCTTTGCTTGTTGGAGACTGTTATTCCGATGATGCAGAAATCGTCGTAGAAACGGCTGATCTATAAATACACAGAAAACGGTTTTATGTTTTTTGCTTCTAGTAATGCACGTGTAGATGTGTCACGCGTTTATGATATTTTGTTAGTAATCTATGCCAAACAACTTCAAACCTTCTAATCAAAATATATATATATATATAAACAGGTCTCTTCACATTATTATAATATTTTTGATTAAATATCTTAATAGTAGTAATTATTTTTATACATTGACATCATATAACGCTGATGACTATACCTGATAAAACCAAGATACAGTACTTGTAGTAATGAAAATACCAGATAATGGGTTAAACATGTTTTGTCCATAGAAGTATTCGTATTGTGCTGTGTCAGTGGTAAGATTACGGACTTACCACGCTAAGATCTAGCGCTCGATTTTCTGTGGTAAACAGATTGTAGATAGTCCGTTGTGTAGCCCTGTGCTTAACAAGAAACAGAGAACCGGAATATCAAGTATTTTCAGTGTCGGGTTTGTTATGCGTATCTAGCATATATTTAGAATAAAATTAAGTTATTTATGAGCCAGATCAAAATCTCAATTAAAACATCGTGAACGTGTAAGACAAAATTAACTATTAAAACTAGGTGTTTCTGCCTGAGTGACAAAATATAACGCCCAATAAAAGAGTGGCCATTTGGTTAAAGAAACGTTTTTTTCCTAATGCAATACTGGTCGTGAAGTGAAAACAGTTGTAATTTCGAAGCTTCTATATGTTTCCAGTATTAAAACATTGTGACATCAGTTCAATGTGTGGTTAAGGACCAACCTACAAATACGTACCTATGCACGAGCCTCGATGTCTTAGGTTATAAAGTTTCGATATATTATTATTCCGGCTTATAGTTACAGAAAAACTGTCAATGTTTTCTACAAGATTTTCAGTAGCTGTTTGTTCTGTACGATCTTAGATTTTGTAACGTAAATAATAATTTAACAAAATTTTGTGAAAATACAGAATATTATATTAATGACTTTTTTTTCTTTTTCTGGGCTTTAATAAGGCGTTTGTGGGTTTTTAGTGATATCTGTAAGAATACATACTATGGAATGCTTTTCCTTAACATGATGAAACTTTTATCGCAAATTCGTGACCTATAAAAGACGCAAGTGACACCATTATTAATTCAATAATAACGAGGGGCTACGTCATTGCACCAAGAAGTGGCGTGATCAGCAGCACGTCAGAAATGTGTAATTTTAAATTTCGAACTTGGTCACAAATGTTAAAGATTTAGAACCTTTCAGAAAGATAAAAAAAAGACATACACAAACATCTTTCTCACTAGATACCACTCGAAATGTATGGCTTTGTGTCACGTGCTATTATTCTACAGTTTTACTTATAGAATGGTGAAATTTTGCATGTGGACACATGACGTCACTTTTAATGAGTTCGTGGCCTAGAATCATTGGATTAAACAGCAGAAATTACGCCCTGTAAATTCTGTGAGAACGTCATAACACGAAAAAATTTGCTTCAGTTCTCCTAAATACTCCGTGATTTCGAACATATTGTTACGTCTCCGTTTGTTAATTAACTTTCCGTAACTTCGTTCCGACGAAACTTTAGCGACACAAGTCCTTTCTTAAATAAAACTGGTTTATTCTTTCTGAATATAACTTTACACTCAACTTCAACAGTTGCGCTATAACAAACTATAATTCACGTATCACGAGCTAGACTTCAACAATACGTCTCTTTCTCTGACTGCAGTTCAATTACTCATTACCTACACACACATTATTCCCGTCACGTTGTGAGCGTCCTATATATATCAGACTAACATATATCTAGTAAATACTAGGGCATTCACGAAGGTACGGGATAGTTCTAGAAAGCAGGTGGCGTGACAATAGTCACGTGATCTCGCTGACGCAACAATATCATCATAAAAGAGACGATTTACACAAAATGACAATTTTTTGAACAAATTTTAAAAATATTTGTACAACTCCTATAAATACACACGAATTTCGTTTGTTTGTTTTTTAATTATGCACAAAGCTATACAAGCTGCGCACTACGGGTATCGAAACCCGGTCTCTAGCGTTGTAAGTCCGCAGACATACCGCTGTGCCACGGTATTTCGAAGTTATCGGAGGGCTACCAGCGATACGGACGGTTTTGTTGTTTTCACGTTTAATATGCTGTGTTATACAATATTGGGTCAAATAAGAAAACAATATATTATCTCTCATAGAGTAAGAGAAATAAATTGTCAAAGGAAGATAAAAATATGCGTTAACTGTTTCTTTTTTTTTCATGCTGTGTTTTCCAATAAATGCAGTGATTTTGAAACACCGTACCTACGTTACAAGATATTTCACTTATTTGCCAACAACAAAATAAGCCAAGGAACGTGTTTACTGTGACCTTTATATAATTTACATTGAACTATTTATTTATGTTTTACAAAGAAGCATTCGCTTGCAAACAAATGGGGAAAAAGTTAGACTATTCGTCCTAGAGTGGGTTTGGACGCTGAGTGTATGAAACTGTGACTGTAACCATAAGGATGCATCTTTGGTTGCATACAAAGAAAGTATTTGTAAACATGGACCTCACCAGCTGCATGATGTGGCTTTGTTTGGAGAGACAGCTGAAAATTAGCCCTTTACGAAAAAGTGGAAAGTAGCATTTACCACGAACTGTATTTTGTCATTGACTTTTCATCGGTTGCCTAAGCTGTTGTTTTTTTTTTTTACTTGGTGTTTTTCACATTGACATTATTTTTAATATATAAAATGGATAAGTTACACAACCTAACAAATTTGCCTGTGGTAATCCAATGTAGCATGTGGATACAAATCTTCAAAATAGTTAACCCAATACAAGAATCAACGGGAAGACACATCGTTAAAATAAAAGTGCCATTTCTTTGTTACGGATTTATGTCTTCAACCATAAATTTCCAAATTATTACGATATTACTACATTACTATTTTACAATATCACTAGAGAGAGAAATTCACACTGTAAATTATACCAAGGCTTAGTGCATAGATAGCCTTACTGGCGGAGTATGACATGATGTTCTGATATGACATAATATTACATACCTTTTTAAATCTCATCTTCATTTAATGGCCATATGTGGATCTTCAGTGAGAAGAGGGAATAAAAGTAATTCAACAACACTCGGTCTGCTGAAACTTCAGAACTCACGTGACAAGGTCATGTGATACACTACCAAGCATATGCCACAACTGGGTATTATACCTTTCTCCATTAAAAAACACAACACAGTATTTGATCTTGTATTTTCGGGTAGAATTCCGTGTTATTTGCATGTTATATTGTAAATGCCTAAAAATCATTCGTTACTTTTCAAAGTAAGAAATTTTATCAAGCTTTCTATTTCTTAAGTTATTTATGGTTACAGCACGCAAACCCTAACATTAATTCTTATATTATTAGGCTTAATAGAAACAAAGTATGGTATTAAAAAGTACGGATATTAAGAACTTGATTTCATTAAAATACTGTAGAGTAAAATAAGTCAAATGCGAAAATGTGTAAGAACTAAGCCTGCTTTCTATTTCCATTAAAGGTTGTTGTCGCATCTTTAGTAAGAGCAATATATTATTATTATATATAAGTTGACAATATTGAGGACAACCAAGGCAGACTAATCATTAGGAGTTTTTTTTTTTCTTCCAAAGAATACCAGAATAACCCATCCGTCTTAATTTAACGTATTACATCAGTAGCGATAGGTGTCGGTGGTCAGAAACAAAATCAGTAAAAACACAGTGTTGGTTGCATGTACGTACCTATTCTAGGGTTAACAAAGTGGGGTTGACTAAGTGTCCATTCTCGTAACTCAACCTGTAGTGACTCCAAAAGCTCTTCATCATGCTTCTCCATGTGGTCGTATTCAGTATCAGTGGTCAGATCCGAATCATCCACTATTTGTTTATTTTTACTTAGTTTTTCCTTCTTCCTGCTTTTCTTAGAGAGTTGCTTGGCTAGTTTATTTGGAGATGAGGAAGACATGTTCTGTAACTATACCCAAGACAAGGAAAAATCAGAGACTTGTGAATCTTTTTATTCTATTAATATAATTTTGAAACGTTGAAGAATTATTTACACTGACAAAGATAAAATTAAATACAACATGCTATTATCTTTGCACAAAGAATACTTATTAGTTTCCTACATTAGGCGGGGTTTGTAAGAACCTCTATGTTAGAGTTTAAATGTTATACATCATATACACACATATATAACCAGTTTGCATTTTTAATATATTTCTAATTTTAATTCATCCACATGCATTTGATTACAAACTATTTAAGTATGGAAAAGCTTATCAAAACTTGACATTTTAAAGGTTTCTATCCTTCACTTCTGGTAAAACATTTTTAAATTTGGCTTTCTATGGTCGGAAGACTTTCAGAAGTGGGTTTCGTTATTAGAACCTGGACAACAATATACTTCTATCGATTAGTCTGCTCAGGCCCGCCGACAGGGGGGGGGCACCTGACCAGGGGCCCGGGCGAATGAAACCTAGCATCTTTAGGCTATATCTTCATTTAATGATAAAAACCATAGTTTTTGGCTTGTCTTTGCATATAGTCGCTTGATACTACATTAAGATCGACTGAAATAATAATTTGAGTAATAATTGATATATATTTGTTACTTCATAGATTTATTA